CAGGTCAAATGGCACAGCGTCTTGGAAGAAATTGGTTGAACGACTAGTTTCCGAGTTTGACAGCGAAACAGACAGACAGCTAGCAATGCAGCAGTTCCGGTCAATGAAGCTTGGACCTGATGGAGACCCGCTAGTGTTGGCGGTGAAACTGACTAATCTACTTCGACGCGCACTTCCCACTTTAGATGAAGAATCAGAAGCGCAGTTACTGTCTTCCCAATTCATCGAGAGTGTCCCAGACCACATTTCTCAGCGATTACAACTGGTTAACGCAACGCAGCCGATGGATATTAGCGAGCTGGAGAAGGTGACCAGACAGCTGCTGAGCACAACGGTAGCCGCTATAGACCAACCAAAACCAAACGAGTATGAGCAGAAAATTGAAGCATTGCAGCGGGAAGTGGCGGCGTTAAAGTTGGCTGATAGAAAAGACCGGTGTTTTGAATGCGGTAAGCCGGGACACTGGAGAAGATACTGCCCAGAAAGGCGGAAAAGAAAAAATTTCAGACGGTATAATGCTTGTTCTTTCTTTCGTATGAACCTAGATTTAGTGGGGGCTATTGAGAAAGGCGCTCTGTATTCGAAGTTGCGAGTGAATGATCGAGAAGTAGTATGTTTGATAGATACAGGGGCGGCCGTGTCGTTAATAGATAAGAATTTATGTAAGAGTGTTAGCCCGTGTTCATTGACAGTACAAACAGTAGGCGGGTATGTGTTGCGTATAACGGGTAGATCGAACTGTACGGTCGTTGTTGGTGGCTGTGAGGTGACGTTTCCTTTCATTGTTGTACCCGAACTACAGCGAACGATATTAGGAGCGGATTTTCTGCGTGAGATTGGTGCCATAATCGACACGCAAGCGAACGTGGTGGTCACGAAATACGGGCATATCAACATGTATGAGACCAGCGAGATAGCAGCGATTAAGCTGCCGACGGTACACAATGTGACAGAGTTAATTAGTAAATACGATCATCTGTTCACTGGAGATGGCGACCCATACGGTTATTGCGATAAGGTGAATCATGAAATTCCGTTAAGTGATTCGAAAGTAAGGTCATTTACAACGCGAAGAGTTCCATGTCATCTGGAAGGCGAAGTGGAGCGACAAGTGCAAGAGATGTTAAAAGATGACATTATTGAGGAAGCTGATAGCCCGTACAACTCTCCAGTGCTGTTAGTAAAAAAAGCGAATGGGAAGTATAGATTCTGTGTTGATTTTCGACAGTTAAACAGTATGACAGAGTTAAGACCGTGTGCCATGCCAACAGTGGTAGAAACTTTAGATCGCCTACAAGGCGCGAATGTGTTTTCGGTTCTCGATCTTCGCTCAGGATACTGGCAGATACCGATAAAACAAGGTGATAGAGATAAGACGGCTTTCATCGTGGGTCAGACACAATATCGATTTAAACGCATGCCGTTTGGACTAGCAGGTGCACCGTTTACGTTCAGACGACTGATGAAGCTATTACTTAGGAACTTGAAAAACGTGGAGGTTTATGGTGATGATCTCGTCATATACAGTCAAAACGAAAACGATCACGTCAACCATGTAGAAGCCGTGCTGCGACGCATCGAAGAGTTTGGACTACGCGTCAACAAAACCAAGTCCCAGATAGCCAAAAAGAATGTTACTCTGTTGGGACATAAAGTGGGAAATGGTGAGATTAAACCACTGCCGGAGAAAATTTTGACGATTAAAACGATTCCAGCCCCGAATTCAAAGAGAAAACTGAGACAGTTCTTGGGTAGAGCAGCGTTTTATAGCCGCTTCGTGAAGAACTTCAATGAGATAGCAGCCCCTCTATACAGGCTACTAGGTGAGCCAAAGTTTGTTTGGTCGGAAGAATCGCAGAGGACATTCGACAGAATTAAACAGCTGCTCGACCACCAACAAATGACGCTAAAACTACCTGTGCCAGGAAGACAGTTCACAGTGTGCACAGATGCCAGTGACTACGCTATAGGTGCGGTCCTAAGACAGGACGAGGGAATCGTTGAGTATGCCAGTAGGGTTTTGACACTCGCAGAGAGAAAGTATTCAACGATAGAAAAAGAATGTTTAGCAATGGTATGGGCAGTCGACAAATGGAGACCTTATTTACTCGGCCGGCGGTTCCACATCGAAACTGATCATAAGCCGCTACAATTTTTGAAGACAGCGAGAGACCCACGGGGGAAGTTGTCACGGTGGATGTTGCGTCTTCAGGAGTACGATTTTACGATCTCACACGTTCCTGGAAGTGAAAATGTCTTGGCAGATTTGTTATCGAGACCAGAAGATGAGTCTGAGTTGCCCGAGGTCGCTTACGGAGTGCATGCAGTAGAACAAGACCCACTAAGACTTGCACGTAGGCAGAGGTTGGACGATACGCTGAATACAGTAATACAGGTGATCACCAACGGAATAGAAGTGGATCAAACTACGGCGAGTAAGGAGCTAACCACACTACTCAGACAGAGGGATCGACTCAGAGTGAATGCCTACGGGACTCTGACCTGGCGAGAGAACGACGGAAGCTGGCTGGCTGTCATACCTCAATCGTCGCGCCACGACATGATAGAAGAATGTCACCAGCTAGCGCATACAGGCGTGGCCAGAACGACCGATCTCCTAAGACAAAGTATGTACTGGCCAGGTATGAGAGAAGACGTAGCAAGATACGTACTTGGATGTCCACGGTGCCAGCTGATGAAAGGTGACCGGTGTATACGACCACCACTTCAGTCGATTCCAGTTACCGCGATAGGTGACTTGTGGTCCGTAGATGTCATGGGTCCATTTCCTCAGACATCCAATGGTAATCAGTACCTCTTGGTAATGACGGAACACGCGACACGATGGGTAGACGCCGTAGCAATCCCAGACCAACGTGCAAGAACCGTGACAGATGCAGTAGTTAGACACATTGTTGCAGACCACGGCGTACCGAAGGCAATACTGACAGACCAAGGTCCCTGTTTCGAGAGTGAAGAGTTTACTTCCCGTTTGCAACAGCTGGGCATCAAGAGGATCAGAACGACCCCATACCATCCACAAACGAATGGCCTAACGGAGAGAAACAACCGTACACTGAAGGAGTGGCTGGCCTCGAAGGGCGGGAACTGGGAAACGGAGCTTCCACTGATTTTACTAACACATCGCGCTACCACTCAGGAAACAACGAAGAAGTCACCCTTCCAACTGATGTATGGTAGAAAACCACGATTTCCGGTACACAATGAGACCTGGCCCATGCACCAAAAGTGGAGTACGACGAAATTAAAAGCAGAGAGGAAAGAGGCAGTCAAGAATGTAATACGGAAGCAGCGCAGTGATGTCGCGAAGTCTCAGATGAAAGAAAGGACGCAGTGCATTACCTTTGCAGTCGGGGACCAAGTGAAGTGTAGAGACAGGAGATATACAGTTGGAGGCGGGCTAGGTTCACGGAAACTCCTTCCAAAGTGGGAAGGACCATACACAATCACAAAAAGACGGGGTCAAGTATATACCATCCGAAGAGGTGATAAACAGAAACGAGTTAACGCCAGTCAGCTCCAAAGATGGGTACAGTGGGACAAGCCGGTCAGTAACAATCCTCAACTAGAGGATGTAGCACCCAGAAGGTCGGAACGTCTGCGCACGAAGCTATTTGACGGGGGGACGAGTGTGGTGAGAGCAGGCTGCTAGCCGATTGGTTGGCACTAATCTACGTTAAGGTCTAGGTCACTAATATGGGCCGTGAGAAAATATGAACAAGCCTGAGTCAACAACCAATCACAGCAAAGTTAACGTGGCAAAATATGATTCGCAGAGAGAACTCTATTTGTCAAGGAATCCCGAAACAACCAATCAGAAGCCTGCGTTTGTCTACCTAAACAACCAATCAGATGACTGCGCTTGTCTATAATAATGTAGTTGAAAGATGTATAAATACGTGTTGATTTTCATAATAAAAGGATCTGTTGCTTCGCCCTTGTCTTCTGTTGTTACATGGGTACTTCGCAAGTACTATCAAGTATTCGATGTAAGTTCTGGATAGTGAAGGGAGGTACTGCTGTCCGTAAAATAATTGATAAGTGTATGGAATGTAAACTCCGAAATGCTCGTCCAGTACAGCAGATGATGGCACCACTCCCAGCGTGGCAGGCTTCTGAAGGGAATTATCCATTTGAGTACGTTGGTGGTCTCCAATCAGAGTATAATTCAATTGTGGGTAAAATTTATTTTGATATAACCTCACAGTGTAATACAGTAATATTTCCTGAGCAATAAATTGTGCTCGAAACGTCATCAGTAAATATTACTGCATAACACTGTAAGACTTAATCAAAATAAATTTTACCCACAATGCAATTATACTTTGCCACAACCACAATGCACAAGTTCTATTCTTATAGATACATCAACGGAGTAATTTAACTACATTCTATGCATGTAATTATTTACGTCTTCTAACCCTAACAATAATCCTGATCTTTCCTGAACTTAACCCTAATATCGCCTTTATTAGGTTAACGTAACCCTAAACTTGTCCTTGGTTTAAAGCGTAACTTAATCCTTCCCAAACCAAAGCTGAAACTTGCCAGATATCCCATTTAATAAAACACAACACTTCGATGAGGATGTTTTATTGATGGTGATAACATTATTTACGACGTTTCATTATCTTGCTCGATGCACATTTCAAGGTCATTGGTGCGCTGTCGCACTCCATTGGTAATGGTGAGTGGTGCTTAAAGTTTAACTTGGCCCAATTTTAAAATTCACACCAATATTTTTTTCGTTCACGTTCCCCAGTGGAACATAGGGCCTCAAGTTAGTGGTTTGAAGTTTCTGTAGCAGTGTTTAAGTTTACAGGATGGGGTTGCTAGCCTCATGCGCAAGCTCTCCGCTTTACCAGCATTATTTCTCGCTTAGGGAGACAAAGGAGTGCATCGGTGGCCGGGGATCGAACCCCAGACCATGTGCATGGTCGGCGAGCGTCCTAACCGCTGTGCCATCGACGCACACACCACTATAGATTCACTTTATTATAAAACGTAGTCAAATAACTAATATTCAAGTTGTTATATTTATATAAAATCATGATCAAAGCATTACCTCTTTCAGCAGGAAGTTTAAGTTCAACATCCATCATTGGTTCCATAAGATTCCAACTGGGCATCTTGGCGACAGCATCTCTCAGACTGGCAATACAATATGTTTTCAATAAAGCCAATAGAGATGCTGAAGAAAGTTGTGCATACGACAGCTTGTCTAGGCTCAGATCATTCAGATTATTATTATCAATATGCTTTAAACCGTCTGCAATCTGTTCTGAACGACCGCATACAATCCGATGAATATGAACGTCTACGCCAATAATAGACGAGCCAAGAATAGGTCCGCTAACTTCCAAGGCTGATAAACGCGCCTCTGTGATAGCGTGCCGTAAACGTGCAATTTTCCCGTCACCATGATGATCGAAGATTATCTTTATATGGACGAGAGATTATAATGAAAAGTGTTTAACATAGTGGAGTATATATATATATATAAAGTTTCCAGACTGCAGGTGTTGCGAACTGCCTGGAATAATTTGACCGCCCAGTCAGACTGATTCATGATAAGTTATTCAAAGTAATCCCAGTGTGTTGAAGTGAAAATCAAAACAAGATCTGTTTTTTTCGAACACGTTTCGCTGTGTAAGTTGCCACACCTTCCTCAGTAGATTTATTCGGGTTTTTTATTAATCATCAAAATATTTATAGTCAAAACATTTTCACAGAAATTCAAGTCAGTTTATTTGAAGGTCTCTCGTTGATAGACATTTGTACCAATAGAAATATGTAAGCAGTCATCAATCATATATTTGTAATGACTAATGTCAAATTGTCATGGTGTATATTTTTTCTGTATGAGTGTGTGTGTGTATGTTATTTGTCATATGGAACGGGACGTCAATTCACATGTGATTAACATGGTACATTTTTTTAAAGGTCATGGAGTTTCGTAGACGTTTTTGTTGTTGTTTTTTCATCTGTCTTGCTTCATTAGAGTTCGCCATATAGGTGTTAAGTCTATCTCTACTCTCCTTCCTATTTACTGCATTCGATGTGGTTCAGATGTGCAAGGCTTCAGAAGTCAACCTTTCTTTATGTGTTGAATGAAATTATATTATTTTGTTTAATTAGGTAAACCGAAAGGGTCCTTGAACCTACAGAGCTTGCACTATCTGAGTGAGTTTGTAGGTTTGAATGCCACCCGAATTCCTGCTTTGTTGTTATTTAGAATCCTACGTAGGGAGTGTCTCAGATGTCCCCTCTCTATATGGTATAACAGTAAATGACTTACATTCACTCTTATTTGTGCTATTATTACTAGTTTCCCCATTATTTTTATTTAGCTTTTGGCCTTTTCCGATCTTCCTAATCAATTTTATAGGATAGTCAGTTATTCAACGCCAACGCCTTCTATCTTCCATCTGTTTCATTTCATCATTTAGGTCTTATTTTGTGCTACTTAGTGCCATTGCTCGGTTTGTGGGACACTTAACTAAGCCTACCTTAACAGTTAACGGATGAGGTGAATTAAAGTCTAAATATCTATTAGCAGAATGAGTTGGTTTTTATAAACACTAGTGTGCAGTTTACCTTCTTCTATCCGTTTTATTCTACAATCTAACATCACAGCTAATTCTCCTTGTTCATTTTCCGATTCAAATGTGAATTTTATTTCCTCTACTAGTGAGGTTATGTGTGTCAAGAAGCTAGAGAAGGAGATGTTCTGTTTTTAACCCTGTCAAAGTGTCATGCACATATCTCCACCATATTTTTGGAGTAAGATTAAGTGAATGTATTCAGAGCATTATTTTCCCAACTGTCCACAAATATGCATAAACAATGAAAATACGAATCCACACTACTTTCCTCTTGCTACAGTCGAAGGTGATCAATAACTGATTATCCAAAAATGAAAGAACTATCTCATCCATCTGAGCTAAAAATCTTCTCTATCAATTCAGAATGTGCATGTGTGTCGATGAGATGCTGACAGCCTCATAATAAATCAAAGAGTACAGGCAACAGTTCCCCCCCCCCCAATGCAAACTGATTATCAAGTACACTTCAGGAAATCAATACTGCAGTTAGATTGTAACACTTTAGCATTCATTCAGTGATGTCTACTAAGACAGAGTTGATGATTTCTCCACCCCGCCTTCTGTTTCTCCATTCCCTATATTCCAAAGCTCTACAAGCTCTGAAGTTTCAGTAGATGGGGTTGGGGTGGGTGTCGTTTTCTTTTTACGAGGTTGAGTCGTTAGCCTCATCATACTGAACCATCTCTCTTTTCCGGAGCTTAATACCTACCGACTAGGCAGGTAGTATTTTACTGTTAAACTATAACTGCCACCTCACTGGTGTTGACACATTCACTGATGACACTACTACCTCTACTACTTCACCTTTTATCTGGCAGTGAAGGGTACAACAGTGACAGAACTTTGCGTTCTATTTACCGTGGGAAGTGGTATAATAAGGTGAGCAATATTGAGGTTAGGCGTCGGTCGAGTGCTAGGTAGGTGGGAGGGGCTGTGATGCAGTTACATCGACTGAGATGGCTAGGACATGTGTCATGCATCCATGCCTAGTCATCGCCTTCCTCGACAATTGGCAATGTTAGCTGGTTGACATAGGGTTAGCCTATAAGCAGATAAAATACGTTTCAGTGAAGATGTGGTAAGATTAAGGGATGATAAGAGAGGCGTTGAAAATATAAGTAAGGGGTGGTAGTGAAGTTATCAGTTGGTTAAGTCTCAACAGACCAAGGGAGGCATAGTTTAGGTTTAATAGTTCGAATGCCTATCGCCTGCCTCAGCTGTTTGTGTGTGTGTGTGTGTATGCAGTAAACGAGTACGAAGTCTATTGGAAAGATTCGGTGGGATACGATGAATTACATTTAAGGCCCTCGTTATCCCCATTACATGACCACTATCAATCAAATGTGACAAAATTGAGCTACGGATTGTTTTTGTATGTCCTTCTCCAAACCACGATGAAGGGAGGTGTTCACTAACACGTTGGCTAAGCAGTCTAGTAGTACACTTTCTCATCCTTATTATTGATAAGATCATTATTATTATTACTATTATTATTATCATCATTACTACTATTATGACTTACTGCACAATTTATATTCACCAGCTTATTACCCTATAGACAAAACACCATGATTGTTTTATATTTGAATTTGTAAAGTTATGTAGGTGTATATTTGAGTTAAGCGTGATGAGATCTAATTGGAAACAACGATATTGTTCGCATAAGCAGGTGTTGTTCTAAATTTTACTAAGGGAATATTTAATATAAGGAATAAAATAAATATTAATGGCATTATTATTATTATATTACCTGAGGCTTATGAAGTGAATGCAGAGACTTCTTTGGTTGAAGTATGATCTCGACTCCAACCGCTTTTTCACTCCCATTGATAAGTCCAACTGTACAATTCCAACCAGAGGAACTGCAAGCATCAACTGATGGACACTCTTTGTAAGCGATTAAAAGAGGACCCATTCGAACGCCAACTTTATATTCACGTTTCAATCTAGCAAGGATAACATCCAGGTGTAGATCACCCATACCAGATATGGTCCATTGACCAGTTTCTTCATCAAATTTCACCTACAAGAATTAACAATTATAAGTAAAACAAAGTGTTTAATTAACAATATTAAAAATAAAAAAATAAATAAAAATGTCAGATGTTAAGTGTAGAAAGAAAAAAACACCAGTTGTTGAATCACTAATGTAGGATGAAATAATGAAAAAAAACTAGTCTACATGAACCTTCAATTCAATGGAGATATATCTGCGGAAACACCAAAAAAATCGACTGTCGCTCTCACTTAAGCGAAAACCTTCTTCGCAGCTGAACTACAACTAGCCTTCTCCACAAAACCTATGATTCATGTGAACGTGAAGGAGATAAGCTACCACTGCTGGCCAACTCATCAATGTGTATTTATCAATTCACCTGCTCGTGTGGAGCCAGGTATGTCGGCCTTACCCAGCCAGCGTTCGTTTTCCAAACGTGTCACTGAACACTTACCAACATGGTTTTACAAAGGAGTAAAACGATGCCCCCATGCAGCTCTATCTTAGAACATCTGATAGATTCCGGACACCAAGCTACACCCCCCAAACAAACTTCAAAGTCGTCTAGAGAATACGAAACAGACTTCCTAAAGGTGTAAGAATCAGACTTCTTCAAACGCCGCAGAAGCAATGACGATTCATTCGCTAAGTCCTGAACTCTTCACTACACTTGCAATGGACGTAATGTGTCACAATACCCGACAGGGAAATTCTACTCCTTTCTGTCTTTCTACTAGTATTATTTTGCCTGTACAATTGTAATATTTTACATTTTCAAAATTCTTGTTCTCTACCCCCACCCGTTTTAATTTCTACACTTCATTACCACTGTTATTGACTTGACCAACGCTCAATTTCTAGTCATCATCCAATTTATCTGCTCACTTTTCGTCCTAGTTTAAATGGCATTATTCTCCATCCCACCTCTACTTAGTCTCTCTCTACCTGTAATTACCTCTGTTGCTATCCTGACCTAGGTTGAAGCATCCAACCAACTAACTCAGTCTTTCTTATTTTTATTGTTCTCTAATTAACCTTGTTTCTATATATTAGATCATTCTTGTATCACCTGATTAATTATCTAAACTTGACAAACCTCATGTACACAAACACACACACACACAAATAATTATATATAAATGCAATTGTACAGCTAGCTATGTGAATGAATTCGCTGTCGAAAAAAGTCTATTCGCTGAAAGTCTTCTCTTTTTCATATCACTCAAAACACTGGGTGACGCGGGTTCGAATCTCAGAAGGGACATGAGTTCCTTCAAGGTTGCAGATACGCCTTGCTGATGAGTGCCGACTAGCACGAAACCTAGGTCCAAGGCTTCCTGTGGCCGATTGCCTCCAACCATCTAATATACTCAAATAATGTGTTGTCACTAACTAAACATAAGTGAATTAGGGCGTAAATGAATGAGCACACCGAAACCCCCACCTCACCCCCTAAGGCAATCCATACCCCCCCTTCTGAGTGAACCAAGGCAACATTCAATTACTTCATTGATTGAAGCCATGTTATGATTTCACCACTCTTAACTCTTTTCCAACCTGATCGGGTGTCAGATAAAATCGTTCAACCAGTAAGGTGATGGCTCGACAAGTATAACACGTATCCCAGAAACTACAACTCTATCGGTTTACTTTCCCTCTTTCCTATACTCTAAGCTTAACCTTGATGTGGAACTAACAAGAAGAACTGATGGGAGTCTAGAAGATCGATCCATAGAAAACTTATGTGGAATGGTCAACTTATAAGCTTCTATAGCTGGGTATCCATTCAACAAAAGCGGAATTTAATTAAATCACTTGCCACCTGCATCCAACGACGCATCTGTAGTCCCGACGTTCTGGAAACAGAACTAAATGTTCTAAGAGAAATCTTCATCCAAAATGGATACCCAATAAGATTCATTGACAAAAATATCAAACCAAGAATTTGGAGGAATAAAACTTTACTTGCGCGCTTAAAAACAAATTCTACATGAACTTGGATTTTAAAGGAGATAATGCAAGCGATATTCTTAAGCGAAAGATCACATCATCTCTGAGAAGAACATTCTTTGCAGAAACGCTAAGAATAGTGTTCTCTAGTCGCCCACTGATCTGCAGAAGCCTCAAGGACAAGATCCCGCATCTGACCACTTCTATGTGTATATATCAGTTCACCTGCCGTTGTGAAGCCAGCCAGGTACATCGGTCGTTCGACGCTCACCCTGTCCAAGACGATTTAAGAACACTATCCAGCCAGCATGGTTGTAAAAAGGCAATAGTGGTGATGCAATAAGGAGTGTGACAATGGAACACTTGGTTAACACTGATCGTTCCATCTCAACAAACGCCTCCTGCTTCAAAGTCATCTACAGAATCAACAATAACCTACCAAAGGCAATACGGTTTCGTCTTCTCTGGATCGCCGAAGCTCTGTCCATTCACATAGAAAAACCGGAGCTGTGCGTACAAAAGAGAATTACTCAACCACTTCCACTATCATGGTAACAACTATGTTGATTTCGATGGCCTAATTTTGTTGGTTTGCCTGTTCTTTAATTGCTTATAATTCTTGTATACATTTAGAACTCTTACATAATTTCGTATTCTCTACTTTGTTCCTAAGTGCATCCTGAGTAAGACTCATTCATCAAACTATTCACATTATTGCATAACTTCTTTTAGACAGCTGTTTGTGAAAACTCATCATCACCTTTGTTACTACGTTAATTTCATTAACACCTAATTTTCTAGACTTGTATTACCAATCTTCACCTGTTTAGTTAGAATAACCATAATCAAAAGTCTATTTTTGTTTGGCAAACTTAATGTACACATACATACAAAATAATGCACGTATATATTTGGGATTGTACAGCTAAGAAAATGAATTTACCGCCGAAAAAAGTCTCTTCGCTGATCTACGTATTTTGTTTTATTTTCACTAACCACATTACTCATCCCCAAAAAGTATCATTTAACACGGCAGAGAGAAAGAGAGAGAGATAGCAAAAGAGGGGCTAGCATCTTTATATCCTGCGATTTCACGACCATGGCTGACATTCATAAAAAAAGAGAGAGTGAATTGCTGCACAATGAGCAAGTCCTTCGACCTACAGTTGGATATCACATCCTGGTCAGTGATTTAATCAGTTTGCAAATGCCACAAGAGCTTGTTGGATGAGCTGTTATATATATGCTCGCCAATCGGGGTTCGATCCCCGGCCACCGATTCACTCCTTTATCTCGCTTGCTAAGCCAGTAATACGGCTGGTAAAGAGAGAAGGTTGCTAGCCAGGAAAAATAAACACCACCGTAACAGAAATTTCAAGCCTCTAGCTTGAAGGCGGTGGCCAATGTTCCACTGTGAACGCGAGGGAATTTGATATGTAGTCACATGATATCTGCTCTGTCTTGACAATCTGATTTATTTTACTGTGTATATTGATCGTTATTCCATTAGAACTCACAATATGTTTTGTTTGTAAATCAACAATTTGTGACCTTGGTAACGTGACATTACAACCAATCAGAATCCAGTGGTGGTAAGAAAAACTACTTATCTATCATCTGATTGGTTCATATGTGTTAGTCATTTTCTCACATACTTTTGCCTTGTACAATTAATTCACTCTCTCCTTCGTACTTTGGCACCTTATCACTCACACTCTTTGTGTGACATTTAAGCTTTCCATGTTAGATAATACACGTATCCATTCGTGAACGTGGTGGTGGTCTTCTGATTTTCCTTTTTACGCGTCAGGACAAATTAACTAACTACTCAGCAATACCAGCAGGTACACGTTATCGGCCCTACGTCATATTACATATTAGCGCGTATTTACACACTCGGTCACACCATAATATCGTCAACGTCCCCATAACTTATATTTGCGACGAGTACATAACAGAATTTTTTTTAAAAAAGAAAGAATGTAAATCAATAGTCACATTGAAAAAAGCTACACCAGAAAAAACAAAAAAAAACAACAACACAACTTGCATGAAAGCTAGGGTCTTCACGTTGCATACAAGTGAGAGCATGTTCAAGTGCGCGTATTTCAGATCGACTACCAGGTTCTATAGCTGCATACACAACAGGTTCGCAGACTTCAGTAAGTAGCGAGAGCGATTCACCAGGTGTTCCACTGTCGGTCACTTCTTCATCAGTAGGGCTTTGTACCTCCATTTGTTTACCCTTATTCGATGTATTCAATACAGGACCAAGAATGTCACCTGTATAGGTTGACTGAAGTCCACTTAAAGCTACAATGCTACCTGGTCCAGCACTGTTGAGCACTTCTACAGAATCTCCACTTAGTTGGAATATATTCAATATCTGAAATATTGAAAAAAGAAATCAAGAAAAAAATAATAAATCTGTCTGTCTGGTTTCACAACAACCTAGAACCACTTTCAAATGATGTGCAGAATTTCGAGTCGCTACACTCCCCCTCCTCCTTGTAGCATACAAAGCAAGAGGGGAGAGTAAAATGAAGTGCAAAATAGAGATATGAGGCAAAAATAATAGTACATAGTTTCATTGGAAATCATAAGTCACAAGAAGTGGATGCATCTGCAGTAGGCAGCCATTGAGAACGATTTTGAGTGATATCTCCAAATGTCTCCAGCCTTCATTGGTTCTTACCGTCCCGAGGACCCCAACCAGTCAGGACGTCTACACCTTCCTACGTGACTGGCTGGCTTAAACTAGCTGTTGTGGATTTCGTTGACTGATGAAGCCATGTTTTGGTTTGACTATCACTAGCTAACTCCTTTCCAATCTGATTTATCGTATGTCAGCTAACATTGCTCATAGTCGAGGAAGGCATGCTTAACACGATGTGACTGAACAGCCTCGTCTATTGATTTCCCCGCCCAATTACACAGCACTCGACCGACGCCTAACCTCAATATTGCTCACACTATTAAACCTACCACTTAACACGGGAGAAAGAGCGCAGACAGGCACCTATTATCAAAGACAGCTAATCTTTTCATGTCAGGTCTCACAACCAGCCAGCCATAGAGGGGGACGGAGCGGACTGCTGATCAGTACAAACGCCTTTTGATCGACAGCCAGCCAGTCGGATATTACATCTACTGAGCCAGAGACAGTGTAAACTGGCCTATGCGAAACTAGCTTTCTGTATCCATAAACAACCGTCGATTAAATAAGTGTAATCAGTCTAAGGTGTATTTTTGCTTATACAATACAACACCAACCGACCCCACTGATGAAATCAACTTGACATATTTCTTAACAGCTTGGTGTATACGGTTAAACATACACAATGATTCAATGATACTGTGCACAACTCATATTTAACAGTAGTCGTTCACATCATCAGCTCTTTGATGTCATTTATTTCGTAGAATTATAAAAGTCCGTTTCATTTTTTTTCTTTTTGATTACAGCTTGATTCCACACTGTATTTTTGGTACTGGCATGGAATTTTCAGCATGTGATATCGGTAGGCCAAATTTTTCAGGCCGACCATTGATATCAGGTGTGCGTCGGCATGGGACCGAACCTCGGACCATGTGCATGGTCAACGAGAGTCCTAACCACTGTGCCACCGACACACAGTAAAGTTAAGCAAGTTCTGTATCCACGATGTGCATAAACGTCATCACTACTAGTTTATGAAAACAATGACTATTAAAATACGTAAAGCATGATACCCTATCGGTCAATATGGATAAGGTTTAATTTTGATAAACTGTCACACACAGTGTTGTGTTTGTTATACAGTAATATTAACTAATGACCACACACTTCGAGCACAATTTATTATTCCCACTCATAATCATATCAAGTCACTCAATCACACAACTTTTTTCTTTTATTTATATACATATGTGAAATTGATGATTAGATATCGGAATAAAAATCAATATGGGATAATGTACATTCAGAAATAATAATAATAACATGAGTGTTATCAATCAATTATAATCACATGGGAAATAAGATGAGTGTTTTTACAGTCATAATAAGTGAGTAACTTGTTAGAATGTTGTGATGTACGTGAAGTGAATTGAAATAGAATACAACTACAGGTGGATGGTACTGACGAGGATATCATAGCAGCGATGATCGGGAAAGCAAGACAAGCTTTCATTACTGACAAGTCTGTGTGGAGGAGATGAACAGTACCCAGTATGAAAATGAAAATAAGATCCGGATTTTCAACTCCAATGTGAAGTCAGTCAGTGCTACTCACTATACAGATCAGAGACTTGACCAGCGTGTCATAAAGAGCACCTCAAACAAACCAGAGACCTTCATCAACAGCTAACTGTCTTCGCTCAATACCACTCAAGATCAGATGGCTGACCGGCCAGGAAACATCAGAAACAGGTAGGGTTCTCTGGCAATCAGCGAACCAACACCGTAGGAACCGATTGTGTAACAAATAAGCAGGAAGAAATGGAGGTGGATTCACTGGCCATATTCTCAGAAAACAAACCATCAAGTGATGGACATCACTAGACAAGCCATTGCTCGAGTGGAACCCGAAGGAGAAGCGGCGAGTTGGTCGTCCAAGGGTGAGGGTGACTTTGAGGAGGTTATGGGAAGAGGAGGAGATGAAAGCGTCTAGACAGAGGCGTGGAGCCAGGTGAAAACTTTAGCAGAGAACTGAAAGCAATGGAGACGTGTAGCTGAAGCCTTAATTTCCTCTAGGAATTAAAGGAAATAATCATAATTTATGCTCGAAACCTTGTCATTCATGTGCTTATACTGTACCATCACCGTGTGATATTTAATAACTAAACTCATATAATCATGGAATGGCTAGAACTTTATAACCTGAAGTTTGTAAGCTTCTTTTTAGGATAGGCACGAGGATGGCTCTAATCGAGAGACGTAGAACACCCTCAGCCTTTTACATGTTCGCTTACAAATTAGTCAGTTCACCGACGACCACCCAACCCTCTTTGAATTAGACAGTGACAAGTAGTCTGTAGTGGGTGCGTTATCAAGTAGACGGTAAGTTAATTCCATTATGGATTAAACTTTATTTTGATAAAGTCACACAGTGTTGTTATACAGTAATGTTTACTGATGAACACGTTTCGAGCACAGTTTATTATTGCCACTGACAATCATTTATATAGTTCGATTGTTTTTCACTTGATTTGATTGGTAGTAGTATTTTCCATATTTCAGATATAAGTGACGAATCATTTCTATTGCATGTGTTCTGTTGAGTGTATACTCGATGAACTAGCCAGGATTCAGTAATCAACCTCTCTCTCCACCTACCTAGATTACTTTTTAGAATTTTAACCCTCTTCCACCATGCTATTGTGTGGTTGTGTGTTAATGCATGCCGCAGTGCAATGTAGTGGTGAGCTTTTTTCCCAATTACTTATCTTCTCTGGTGGGGTCAACCATTCTTACCTTAGCTAAATTCTTATCTTCCGACCATCTCACTACCCCCGATCTACTAGTTTGACCTAACTCACAGTCATTGTAGGGTAGTTTGTAAATTATATTATTTTGTTTAATTGGATCCACAGACGGGCTCCTTTAACCTACAGAGCTTCCCCTATCTGAGTGAGTTTGTAGGTTTAAATGCCACCACCCTAATTCCTGCTTTATTATTAATAATCCTACGTGGGGTGGGTCTCAGATGTCCCCTCCTTATATGGTATAACAGTAGATGCATTACATTCTCTTTCATGTTAGTTATCATTATTAGTTTCCCCTTCATTTTTATGTTGCTTTTGATCTTTGCCGATTTTCCTAACAAATTTTATAGGATAGTTAGTTATTTAACACCAACGCCTCTTGTTACTGGATTAATACCAATATGTTATTATTGTTATACACTTTTAATTTATTTATCAATTGAAAGAAATGTACAGGAGACTGGCAATAGTAATGACCTGATTGATACTATTCAAAATGTTATTGAAGAAGTATTCACATCTACTGTCGACGTCTGGGAAATGGTTAAATGTTTTATTCGGCTGTCAGATTGGTAAGCCCACGTCTTGTCAACACTATTACTACTGTCTGCGGCATATACACCACCACCACCACCAACAACAACAACAACGTGTGGGCGGCAGTAATCAGCCATCAAAGCCTCGTCAAGGTGTTGATTCTTGTATTGAAGCAATTCGAAATGTTGGTCTGATTGCTCACGTTGATGCTGGTAAAACAACGACTACGGAACGCATGTTGTACTATGCCCGTAAGTTGTTCTTTTGAAAATGTATTCTATTTATTTATTTATTTTAATTTTTTGACATTGAATTGTTATAACCGAAATCATATGAATGATTATTATTATTTCCTTGAGTTCTGAGTGGGAGATTTCAGTAGGGGTTTCAGCAGCACGTTTCCTGCTCAGATTAGGCGCAGTTTTGGAAATCTCAGGGACAGATAGTTAGTGGATCGATATCTACACCCCAACACCGCCACCATACTCACCTTCTCATCAGATAAATATCCATTTTTATTATATCGGCTCCAATTGGTTATTTGACAACCAGGCGTAATCACTCCAGAATAGACACGAACCAAAGTAAGTGGACCACGATAAGGATCAAAGCATATCTTAAACACAAGCATAATGGGTAATTTGGAAGAGAGAATATTTAAATGTTTGTCTACATTATTATGTGATGCTTTCATTAAATCGTTGGTATTTGGCAACTGGGATTTGCATGCTTCATAAACTTTGACAACAGGTGCTGGTAAATTGCATCTGCTAGGATCTGGAAAATGGTCCACAATGAAATCCAACAGAGGTTGAATCCCGATATTGTTTCGACTGCTGCCAATTAAAACAGGGATTACACGAGAAGAACGTACCGCCTGAAATACAAGTATACAGTGCAATGACAGGTTGGTTTATAAGACAGTGAGTGTGCTGGTAGAAGGTAGAATTGAAAGGCAAAAGATGGAGGTGACTGCGTTATGGTAAAATTCTTTTCTTTTCTTTTTAATTCCATGAGTTCCGGATGGAAGGAAGACAAGCTTTCTGGAAGAAAAACAACCCTGTTCAATAACAGAAAACGGTAAAGATAGACTAAAGAGTTGGTTAGATCAATGACGAGTTCTTCGCAAAGTCATCTGTTTTGCTTACAATAAATATTAACCATAGTAAATCAATAGAACAACTACCTTAAGCTTGAATCAATTATCCACGTAAAATACTTCAGAAAGAAATTTAACGAGGAAGTGCATTTCAAAACAAAGTGATATTATCATTATTCTCTTTGTGTAACCCGTAGACGAATCTGCCTAATCGTGCGCCCTATATAAATAACTTCAACCACATGAACAGTTGAAATGGTATATGCATGAAGAAGAGCTAAGATTAGGTAAGACATCTTTGAGTTGGTGGGTGAACTTTGGACGGCTACTGAAGGCTAGACACAGATGTGCAGAGTAGAAAGTTTTCTTGATCGCTCTGGTTAAACGTTGCGATAAAATCTCCGCAGGAGTATCTCCCTTGAATTGGAGACGCAAAAACAGAGGCTTTTTCTCCGCCGTTGACAGTTCATGTATACGACTATTCCAACCTATATTGGCTTTAATGAAATTCTCTGGATATCCGTTCTAGCTTAGAATGTCTCGGATAACATGGTGTTCTTTCTCCACACAGTCTTCGGAACAAATAGACCTCGCTGTAAATGCGAAGCACCTGATCAGATTACGTTTATATATCAACATAATTTATACCCTTTATGCAAACACTTTCTCAATACTATCGAATTTTCCATCTATACTATCCGGACTTATTATAAGTGATATCATCTCTTCCCTCAAGATATATCTCCACCTCTTTCATTTCACACATTCTTCATTTCATTATGAACCACGTTTCATTGCAGTCTGCCTATCTCCTGTTCAATACATGCCACTTTGTACTACCCAGTTACCCACTCACCTGACACTTTTTATAACACTGAACTGACTTACTTGTCAATTTTCCTACCTCACACTCCACAGATCTGTTATGACTAATCACCACCACCACCACCACTGTCTCCCGTTTTACAATATTTTGGTAATCGATTTCAGCCCAGAGCACGTTTGTCACACTGAAATACGACTATTTATTTATTTTGACACTCCATAACTACTAATCTGTTGTTATTCTACGTTAAAAATGTATTATTTTTTATAATTGTAAGAATCTGAATAGGAGAAATTATTAAAAAGAATATTCTTCGTTCAGATTGACTTTTAATTCATGGGATATGGGAATATTTCACACTATCAAACTTTGTTTTGATACCATCCAGGGTAGAAACACTTAATTAGTGGATGGTGAATAGCAGTGGAATCCAGTTGAGGATAACGCGCATTTCGTTCTATTTGAGACTCGTCGGTGGGAACATCATCATCAGCATCATTGACTTACTGAGAAATGCAGGTACATCCTCCAGCCGCCAATTGACGAGTACCAAATAGGACGAAATGCGCGTTATCCTGGTCCTGGATTCCACTGTTAGTCATTCACCATCATCCACCAATTTAATACTAATTAAAAAGGCGCAAACATCGTCGTCAAAGTATTTGCACAATAAGGAGCCAACAAACATGTCAACCTGAGCACTGGACCGAGGAGCACTTCGGTTCAACCAATCAGTCAATCGACGGACGGGAAAATCTCAAATTCAATTCAAAATGAAAAACATTACCTTCTTTAAGCTCCTATGAACAATATCTGAAGGGATTAACAAGTCTGGCCGATCAAGTTGTAGAAATTCATTGGCGAATTCTTCATCGATTTCAGCCAGCTCAGACAATAATCGCATACGTGCATTCAAGGCTTGTTGAATAACCTCCGTGGTGTTTAGTTTATATTCATTAGGAGATTTTGAATGATGATTAGGCTTATGCAAGTAATGCGAGCTGGTAGTTGTATTTATCCCTTCGAGTAAATTCGTTGAGATGTATTCGTCGTCTGGAGTAATGCATGAAATCCAGTTCTAAACAACAACAACAATAACAACAAAAAATGTAATGAAGATTCTACAAAATACACTCACTAAGATATTATAGTGGATGAAGGCTAACACTAAGTAAAGGTGTAGTGAAAACCATCAACAAACAGTTCAGTTCGATATTGGACCATCTGGTGCAAACTGGTCGGTCGGCCACAAAGCCAACCAGCCAGCCAGCCAGCGTGGAAGAATCCTTCTCTATCATCATCTACTAGGTGCTTAATAAATTGCCGAAATCATCACCGAAGCACCACATGCTGACAAACACCAGAGGCTATAGCAATTCGCCTCAAACAACCAGTGCTCTGTGTGTGCAGAAGAAGCAAGTCCAGCCCCATGTAATCCACAATGGGAAACATACGGAATCTTTCGAAGAAGTGAAGAAGGGAGTAAGACAAGCGGGCTGGCTGCCTACTATCGCCTCGAATGATTTTCCTGATTGCAGTAGATTGGATAATATGACAGACACCGAGTCGAGCAACGAGGAAACAGGCATAAAATGGACCTCACAAAAAACTTGGAGGATCTAGACTTCACCGATGATATATGTCTGATTTCTCACAAACTGGAAGATATGCAAGTGAAAAGCAACAAGTTGTCAGAAGAAGCATCAAAGATAGGACTTCAGGTGAACATAGATAAAACAGAGGTGATGAAGATTTCTGGCCAACAACAACAGACAACATTCAGTCAGCATAAATGGGAGGAACCTGAAAGAAAAACCTCCTTCACCTACCTTATTTTTACTTTTTTATTTTTGATTACAGCTTGATTCCACATCGTATTTTTGGTACAAGTATGGAATTTTCTGCATGGATATCGGTAGCCCAAATTTCGCAGGCCGACCAAAGATATCAGGTGTGCGTCGGCAGGGGATCGAACCTCGGACCATGTGCATGGTCAACGAGAGTCCTAACCACTGTGCCTACCTACCTACCTGGGAAGCATCGTTTCAACTACAGGTGGATGGAACTGACGAGGATATCAAAGCAGCAATGATCAGGAAAGCAAGATAAGCTTTCATTACTGACAAGTCTGTGTGGAGGAGATGAACAGTACCCAGTGTGAAAATGAAAATAAGATCCGGATTTTCAACTCCAATGTGAAGTCAGTCAGTGCTACTCACTATACAGATCAGAGACTTGACCAGCGTGTCATAAAGAGCACCTCAAACAAACCAGAGACCTTCATCAACAGCTAACTGTCTTCGCTCAATACCACTCAAGATCAGATGGCTGACCGGCCAGGAAACATCAGAAACAGGTAGGGTTCTCTGGCAATCAGCGAACCAACACCGTAGGAACCGATTGTGTAACAAATAAGCAGGAAGAAATGGAGGTGGATTCACTGGCCATATTCTCAGAAAACAAACCATCAAGTGATGGACATCACTAGACAAGCCATTGCTCGAGTGGAACCCGAAGGAGAAGCGGCGAGTTGGTCGTCCAAGGGTGAGGGTGACTTTGAGGAGGTCAAACCTGGAAAAAAACTGGCCGATGAAGCCAGGAAGCGGCGAAGACAGGACTTCATCCATGTGATGAACTTCAAGAAGTTGGAGACGGTGAAGATGACCAAACAATCAACCAGCCAACAAGCCAACCAATAGCAACAACCACAAGCAGAACGAATTACCATCGACGCGAGAGAGAAATTTCACAGAGGTCACTTCTTTCCTTCACTTATCCCGCTAGGAAGCATCGTTTCAACCACAGTCAATCGGAACAGATGAGGATGTCAAAACCAGCCAACCAACCAACCAACCAACCAGCCGCTCGGCTGACCAGCTAGAATCGGAACGACAATCAAGATACGCAAGCCTTCATCAACATGAAACCAGTTTGGAAATCTTCTGAACTCCGCCTCACCACCACCATGGGGAACACGATTCCGTACGGATTTCCAACACAAATGCGAAGCCAGTCAGTTCTTGTTTATGGCAAGGAAACTTGGTGGGCGTGTCACGAATAGCATTTCCAACGAACAGTCTGGTGCAGACTTCTGTCAACAGCTGCTACATTCGCTGGCTGGCTCCATACTGAAGACCAAGTATCCAGTTGGTCGGCCAGGATGAGTCAGCAACAAAAAACTCTGGCTGGTGAGGAACAAACCAACCAGTAGCCAGCCAATCGCTCAACAAATATGCAGAACAAATTGGAGATGCATTGAAAGCATACGTTGAGAAGGCCGTCGAATGACATCGCGCGCAATGCAGACCATCCATCGCTCAAGTGGAATCCCGATGGGAAGTGACGAGTGGGCGTGGTCGGTGAGAGGGTGACATGAAGGAGGTGGTGTGAGTTGTAGGAGGATATGAGAGACTATGGGGAATCGTGTCTGTCTCAGGTGAAGTGGACAGTAGGAAATTGAAAAAAAAGTAGAGATGTGTTGTTGAAGCCAGCGCTATGTTTCACTCGGAACCCAAGCTTATCATAATAATAATAATAATAATAATAATAATAATCACAAGTTCTTATACAGTACACACAGCCCACAGCTCTGCTGCCTTGGAAACCACTTTCCAGCTATCATGAAAGAAAATTCACCGTTATCAGTGAAACGATGGGAATATTATTGCGCAACAGAAAGGATACAGCTGTTTTCATAGCTCCATCATTATCATTTTAGAAAAAGGAGTGTTCTTTATTTTACGTGAACGGATCGCTGGTCGGCATGTCCAAACCTCCCTCCCTTACTACTGGGCTTACTACAACGAAGTAAGCCAGATTTATGGGTGTAACAACAGAAGACAAGACACGGAAGCCAAACGTTAATTTTTCATTGATCAAACTGCAGTTTATATATATTTGTATATTTTCAGTTTACATCAAACGCCAAGAATTGGATTGTTCAAACATACGTATATAGTTTTCTGTTGCCAATGCAGTAGTATTGAACTATGGCAAAGTATTCTGTTTCTAACAGCAAACAAAATCTTCAAATAGATATACCATCGTATTCTGTTGCTAATACCGAACTGAACTGTGGGAATATGTGGGAAGAATATTCCGCCGGCACATACTGCGTGTAAAACACAGCACCACACGGGGACATCGGTGGGGGGGGGCGGATCGAGCCCTGGGCGATCTAACTGGGTGTCAAGTATTGTAGTATTGAACCAGAAACACACGTTTTTATAGATATACGTACAAAACTTGGGCACTGTGGTGGTAGAGTATAACTCCATTATAGATAAGATTTTATTTTGATAAGTCACACAGTATTGTACAGTAATATTAACTGATGACCACGTTTCGAGCACTAATTATTGCTCATAATCATATCAAGTCACTCACACAACTTTTTTCCTTCATTTATATACATGTCTCGAATCGATTGGATATTGGGATAAAAATCATTATGGGATAATGTACATTCAGAAATAATAATAACACGAGTGTTATCAATCAAGTACAATCAGATGGCAAATAAGACGAATGCTTTTAGAGTAGAAACAAGTAACTTGTTAGAATGTTGTGATGTACGTGAATCGAAATAGAATTTTAAGATTACAGGATTTCATCATGAGCTGACATTGCTTAGAGAACCATTGGAAAACCAGGAAGTACTGGACAGCTGTTTCGTCCTAGTTTGGGACTCTTCATCAGTATGCACCCACCGGGGTTCGAACCCAAGACCTTCTGGTTAGAAAATACACATAGCTTCGTGAACATGGTGGTCTTCTGATTGTCCTCTTTTCGCGTCAGGACAATTAACTACTCAGAAGTACATAACAGCAATGTAGTCTTGAGGTTTATTCTAAATTACTCATCTTCTCGGATGGGGTCAATCATTCTTAACTGAGATAAATTCTTATCTTCTGATAATCTCACTACCGCCAATCTACTAGTTTGACCTATATAGGTGGTTGACCTAACTCACAATCATTGCAGGGTATTTTGTAAACTATATTATTTTGTTTAGACTAAGATTAGAAATGACATAACTAACTTTGAAAAATATCAACAATTTATATATATATATATTACCTTTAATTCCATTGTGGTCAGATCTACAAGTCCAACAAATCGACTTTTAGTACTGTCTTTAACATCAGCACCACGAGAATAGTTCACAGGTGATGACGGCGCATTGATTTCATCAAAATGATGTGAGAAAACTGGATAATGTAAGGGTACATAGTTAGCTTTTGTGGGCAATTGATTTGACAGGCTGTATAAACACGCATCCACATTGGCTGATGGACGATCCATTTTATTGATATAAACTACACATGGAAGATTGTAACGATGAGCCTGGCGACTAGTCGAACAGAGACAGAGAGAGAGAGAGACAACGAGAGTGTAAACAGTAGAATTCTATTATGGTTAACTAGTAAAGAATTTAAATACTTCCATTGTGCTAATCAAAACAAAACAAAAACATAATTTAAGCGAATGCGTGTGTTTCTGCCTGTCTGTCTGTCTATTTTCGACATAAAACCACTTTGCACAGATGTGCACCAGTTCAAGTCGCCACACTCCGTTCCTTATAGCACACAAAGCAATAGAAGACAAGCATAATAGAGAGAGACAGTTAAGAGAAATGTGAGGCAAAAGGAATATTAATAACGAACGAAGAACGATAAAGTTTCATTGGAAATCATAAGTCACAAGGAGTGGATGCATCTGCACTAGCCAGCCATTGAGAACGATTTTCTTTCTTTCGTTTCCTTTTCTCTCTCTCTCTTTTCCCTCTGTTATGTGGTGCTTTGTTTCTCTCTTCCTTACAAACTCTACTTAAAACATTCTTCTTCGTTCTTTCACACTCTGCATATCTCGACCCTTTTGTTACCGCTTACGCCAGTAAGTACGCTAGTATATCTAATTTTCTAACACCTTCGAACATTCTGTTCACCTTTGGCTTTGCTACCGACCGATATGCTAATATGTTGTTGTCAAAATTAACTGAGACTACCCATAATCTACGTAGAATTTTATTTATTGTTAATGTACTAACTGGATGCAATACTGTAGTAAAATGCTGAGAATTCCATTCTGTATTACAAGCACTGTTTTGGATAAAGCAAATTATTATTATTATTATTATTATGTCACCAATTGTTTCCAACCATTGGTTTTTACCGTCTCGGAGTCCTCAACCAGTCAGGAAGTCTACACCTTCCTATATGGCTGGTTGGCTTGAACTAACTGTTGTGGATTTTATTGACTGATGAAGCCATCTTTTGGTTTGACCACCACCGGCTAGCTCTTTTCCAGCCTGACCAATCCTATGTCAGCTAACATTGCCTGTCAGTCGAGGAAGGCGATGACTAGGCATGCATGCGTAACACATGTCCTAACCATCTCAGTCGATGTGACTGCTTCACAGCCTCGTCCATTGATTTCCCCTCCTACTTACCTAGCACTCGACCGATACCTAACCTCAATATTACTCACCTTATTATACCACCAACCAACACGGGAGATAGAGCGCAGGCACCTATGATCGAAGAAAACTAATCTTTTCATGTCTTCCACTCTCAATGACCAGATTTCACAGCTGACCATAAAGGAGGACGGAGCGGACTTTTGAGCAGTACACCCGCCCTTTGGTCGATAGACAGTCGGATATGTCGTCTACTAAGCCAGAGACAGCGTAAACTGGCATATACGAAACTAGCCCTCTGTATCCGTACTCAGCTGAGATTTCGTCAGAGGTCAACCCGTTGGCATTGGCTGATGGTACTTCCCAAATAAGTGAAGCGGTCAACCCGCTCCCTCAACCACTCCACTCCCTGTTTCCAAACTAGGAGTCAGTGTAGTCCAGTCAGTCCTGTAACATCATCCTACATTTGGCGGGAGCGAATCGCTCGCATGCCAAATATTCGTAGATTGCAGCTCAAGGTGTTTAGAAGACTGTGCTGTATTTTGTCAGCGTCCTCGCCTAGAAGGACTATATCATCTGCATATTCTAAGTCAAAGAGATTATCACGTGGTAGCAAGTCAATCCCTGAGTCTCTGAAGTGAGTTAGGGTTAAGTCCATTAGTACATATATGATGAAATTGAATGGAAATGGGGATAATGGGCATCCCTGACTGACACCACTAGTCGTCGGTAAGAATTCCTATGTTCTAGAATCTGTCGAAGGGTGAAGATATGATCAATACACCCTATTCTTGGTTTAGAGCCTACCTGGTTCTCTCGTGTCACATGTGATGCAAAACTACTGGGATAGAAGTGGTCAGATCATTGGCATATTTAATGAAATTAGCTTTGCAAGAATGGTGAAGGTCATGAAAAAGGAAAGAAAGAAAAAAAGGAAAGGGAGAGTGAGTATACTACATTGAAACACACCAGTTTCCATCAGCAACGAAGTCGAGTGTTTCCCATTTAAAAAACAGTAACGTTGTATTCATCGGAAAAGTAAGAAGACAGCCACCCACCTTGCAACCCAGGACTCAGTGGGTGCTCAAAATCAGCTTGCTTAGTAAAAGTGCTCTAGGGATAGAGTCAAAGCAGCAGTGTAGTCTACAAAGAAGGCTCCTAAACACTTTGCGTAGACTGTTAGGCAAGGACGATAAGTCAACCAATGAACTTTTGAAGTTATACACAGACGGAGATAGCTAAGATACGTGTCGGGCATATAAAGCAATCGCCTTCCTCGCCGAGCAGTGCTAACTGACACATTTGTATTGGTTTGGAAAAAAGTTAGGAGTGGACAGGTGAAAATATGAAATTACTCCATGAAGTCTTTGATTGTTTATTTGAGCCAGGTAGGCGGGTGGGGGGGGGCTATAGCCAGCTTAACTGAGGTCCCCGCGACATTCAGAACCAATGGCTTCAGTCTTTTGATGACATCTCTCAAAATCGTCCTCAGTGGCGTAGACGCATTCATCCTCCGTAACTGTCCAGATCCATTCAGTCTTCATGCTTTCTGTGTGCAATTACTCCTCGTCCCGTACACTGCTGCCCATTTCAGTTCTTTCGAAGCTTTTCCTTCTACACATGTATGCTTCAGAGAGTGTGGCGACATGAGATGCCTCACTTCTGTGCGGAGTTCCCCACTATTTATTTATTTTATTTTTGATTACACCTTGATTCCACATCGTATTTTTGGTACAAGTATGGAATTTTCAGCATGGATTTGGTAGCCCAAATTTCGCAGGCCGACCATAGATATCAGGTGTGCGTCAGCAGAGGATCGAACCTCGTACCATGTGCATGGTCGACGAGAGTCCTAACCACTGTGCCACCGACTAATACTCAAACAGTCTTTTTAAGAGGATAGCTTACAAACTACTTTCAATGTGGATACACTTAAGCAACGGTAATCACTAATCTAGGACCTCGTGGTATACCTTAACCTGCAAGGTCACAAAAACTGGCTATGGGACGCTAAACAACTATCATTGTGTGGTATCTTCACTTGTGATACCTTGATCAGATGAAACTGGGGCGGGGGGGGAAGTTATGTCCGTCATTAGACTCTGTGCTCCTACTTCATAAACGCAACAAGATACTAGCATTTATAGGAAATCAACACACTCTAATAAGCACTCAGACTTTAACTTATCCTATAGAGAATCAATAAAGGAAGATATGTTGAGTTAAATGTCTTTACAATTGAGCCGACCGATGGCTGCTGCCTTGACGTGGTGATCGGGCTTACAATTCCCGATGACCCAACAAGCTACACTGGCTGGAACCAATGTTTCTGCAGGTCTTACCATGCCACGAAGGTTGTTAGAATAGCGATTACACTAAAAGCAGTTACCGGTATAGTGTAAGAATTTTTTCTAACACTTTCCTGGGGGTCTGAGGGCGAAGTCTGGATTCAACATAGAACTTGGCACCGAAGTGCACCAGATCGAGTTGCCACGTTCCAATTGGCACACAGAGGTAGACAAGAAGATGAGTGAAGAGAATTAATAGAGTTTGACAAGTATACGAGTGAAACAGAATGGGTAATGGTAGAAAGGAATATGAAAGATTACAGAGACTGAATACATCTGCGCTGGCCATTGACAACGATTTTGAGCCTGAGGGCGAAGTCCTGCTTCTGAGGAACAGGGGTGTAACAGTAGTAAGGTGTTTCCTCCTTCTTTAAGCTCCTATGAACAATATCTAAGGGATTAACAAGTCTGGCCAATCAAGTTTAGAAATTCATTGGCGAATTCTTCATCGATTTCAGCCAGCTCAGACAATAATCGCATACGTGCATTCAAGGCTTGTTGAATAACCTCCGTGGTGTTTATTTATATTCATTAGGAGATTTTGAATGATGATTAGGCTTATGCAAGTAATGCGAGCTGTATTGTATTTATCCCTTCGAGTAAATTCGTTGAGATGTATTCGTCGTCTGGAGTAATGCATGAAATCCAGTTCTAAACAACAACAACAATAACAACAAAAAATGTAATGAAGATTCTACAAAATACACTCACTAAGATATTATAGTGGATGAAGGCTAACACTAAGTAAAGGTTAGTGAAAACCATCAACAAACAGTTCATTCGATATTGACCATCTGGTGCAAACTGGTCGGTCGGCCACAAAGCCAACCAGCCCCCAGCGTGGAAGAATCCTTCTCTATCATCATCTACTAGTGCTTAATAAATTGCCGAAATCATCACCGAAGCACCACATGCTGACAAACACCAGAGCTATAGCAATTCGCCTCAAACAACCAGTGCTCTGTGTGTGCAGAAGAAGCAAGTCCAGCCCCATGTAATCCACAATGGGAAACATACGGAATCTTTCGAAGAAGTGAAGAAGGGAGTAAGACAAGCGGGCTGGCTGCCTACTATCGCCTCGAATGATTTTCCTGATTGCAGTAGATTGGATAATATGACAGACACCGAGTCGAGCAACGAGGAAACAGGCATAAAATGGACCTCACAAAAAACTTGGAGGATCTAGACTTCACCGATGATATATGTCTGATTTCTCACAAACTGGAAGATATGCAAGTGAAAAGCAACAAGTTGTCAGAAGAAGCATCAAAGATAGGACTTCAGGTGAACATAGATAAAACAGAGGTGATGAAGATTTCTGGCCAACAACAACAGACAACAATCAGCCAGCATAAATGGGAGGAACCTGAAAGAAAAACCTCCTTCACCTACCTTATTTTTACTTTTTTATTTTTGATTACAGCTTGATTCCACATCGTATTTTTGGTACAAGTATGGAATTTTCAGCATGGATATCGGTAGCCCAAATTTCGCAGGCCGACCAAAGATATCAGGTGTGCGTCGGCAGAGGATCGAACCTCGTACCATGTGCATGGTCAACGAGAGTCCTAACCACTGTGCCTACCTACCTACCTGGGAAGCATCGTTTCAACTACAGGTGGATGGTACTGACGAGGATATCAAAGCAGCAATGATCAGGAAATCAAGACAAGCTTTCATTACTGACAAGTCTGTGTGGAGGAGATGAATAGTACCCAGCATGAAAATGAAAATAAGATCCGGATTTTCAACTCCAATGTGAAGTCAGTCAGTGCTACTCACTATACAGATCAGAGAATTGACTAGCGCGTCATAAAGAGCACCTCAAACAAACCACAGACCTTCATCAACAGGTAACTGTCTTCGCTCAATACCACTCAAGATCAGATGGCTGACCGATGAAGCCAGGAAGCGGCGAAGACAGGACTTCATCCAGGTGATGAACATCAAGAAGGTGGAGACGATGAAGATGACCAAACAATCAACCAGCCAACAAGCCAACCAATAGCAACAACCACAAGCAGAACCAATTACCATCGACGCGAGAGAGACATTTCACAGAGGTCACTTCTTTCCTTCACTTATCCCGCTAGGAAGCATCGTTTCAACCACAGTCAATCGGAACAGATGAGGATGTCAAAACCAGCCAGCCAACCAACCAACCAACCAGCCGCTCGGCTGACCAGCTAGAATCGGAACGACAATCAAGATACGCAAGCCTTCATCAACCTGAAACCAGTTTGGAAATCTTCTGAACTTCGCCTCACCACCACCATAGGGAACACGATTCCGTACGGATTTCCAACACAAATGCGAAGCCAGTCAGTTCTTGTTTATGGCAAGGAAACTTGGTGAGCGTGTCACGAATAGCATTTCCAACGAACAGTCTGGTGCAGACTTCTGTCAACAGCTGCTACATTCGCTGGCTGGCTCCATACTGAAGACCAAGTATCCAGTTGGTCGGCCAGGATGAGTCAGCAACAAAAAACTCTGGCTGGTTGGGAACAAACCAACCAGTAGCCAGCCAATCGCTCAACAAATATGCAGAACAAATTGGAGATGCATTGAAAGCATACGTTGAGAAGGCCGTCGAATGACATCGCGCGCAATGCAGACCATCCATCGCTCAAGTGGAATCCCGATGGGAAGTGACGAGTGGGCGTGGTCGGTGAGAGGGTGACATGAAGGAGGTGGTGTGAGTTGTAGGAGGATATGAGAGACTATGGGGAATCGTGTCTGTCTCAGGTGAAGTGGACAGTAGGAAATTGAAAAAAAAGTAGAGATGTGTTGTTGAAGCCAGCGCTATGTTTCACTCGGAACCCAAGCTTATCATAATAATAATAATAATAATAATAATAATAATAACACAAGTTCTTATACAGTACACACAGCCCACAGCTCTGCTGCCTTGGAAACCACTTTCCAGCTATCATGAAAGAAAATTCACCGTTATCAGTGAAACGATGGGAATATTATTGCGCAACAGAAAGGATACAGCTGTTTTCATAGCTCCATCATTATCATTTTAGAAAAAGGAGTGTTCTTTATTTTACGTGAACGGATCGCTGGTCGGCATGTCCAAACCTCCCTCCCTTACTACTGGGCTTACTACAACGAAGTAAGCCAGATTTATGGGTGTAACAACAGAAGACAAGACACGGAAGCCAAACGTTAATTTTTCATTGATCAAACTGCAGTTTATATATATTTGTATATTTTCAGTTTACATCAAACGCCAAGAATTGGATTGTTCAAACATACGTATATAGTTTTCTGTTGCCAATGCAGTAGTATTGAACTATGGCAAAGTATTCTGTTTCTAACAGCAAACAAAATCTTCAAATAGATATACCATCGTATTCTGTTGCTAATACCGAACTGAACTGTGGGAATATGTGGGAAGAATATTCCGCCGGCACATACTGCGTGTAAAACACAGCACCACACGGGGACATCGGTGGGGGGGGGCGGATCGAGCCCTGGGCGATCTAACTGGGTGTCAAGTATTGTAGTATTGAACCAGAAACACACGTTTTTATAGATATACGTACAAAACTTGGGCACTGTGGTGGTAGAGTATAACTCCATTATAGATAAGATTTTATTTTGATAAGTCACACAGTATTGTACAGTAATATTAACTGATGACCACGTTTCGAGCACTAATTATTGCTCATAATCATATCAAGTCACTCACACAACTTTTTTCCTTCATTTATATACATGTCTCGAATCGATTGGATATTGGGATAAAAATCATTATGGGATAATGTACATTCAGAAATAATAATAACACGAGTGTTATCAATCAAGTACAATCAGATGGCAAATAAGACGAATGCTTTTAGAGTAGAAACAAGTAACTTGTTAGAATGTTGTGATGTACGTGAATCGAAATAGAATTTTAAGATTACAGGATTTCATCATGAGCTGACATTGCTTAGAGAACCATTGGAAAACCAGGAAGTACTGGACAGCTGTTTCGTCCTAGTTTGGGACTCTTCATCAGTATGCACCCACCGGGGTTCGAACCCAAGACCTTCTGGTTAGAAAATACACATAGCTTCGTGAACATGGTGGTCTTCTGATTGTCCTCTTTTCGCGTCAGGACAATTAACTACTCAGAAGTACATAACAGCAATGTAGTCTTGAGGTTTATTCTAAATTACTCATCTTCTCGGATGGGGTCAATCATTCTTAACTGAGATAAATTCTTATCTTCTGATAATCTCACTACCGCCAATCTACTAGTTTGACCTATATAGGTGGTTGACCTAACTCACAATCATTGCAGGGTATTTTGTAAACTATATTATTTTGTTTAGACTAAGATTAGAAATGACATAACTAACTTTGAAAAATATCAACAATTTATATATATATATATTACCTTTAATTCCATTGTGGTCAGATCTACAAGTCCAACAAATCGACTTTTAGTACTGTCTTTAACATCAGCACCACGAGAATAGTTCACAGGTGATGACGGCGCATTGATTTCATCAAAATGATGTGAGAAAACTGGATAATGTAAGGGTACATAGTTAGCTTTTGTGGGCAATTGATTTGACAGGCTGTATAAACACGCATCCACATTGGCTGATGGACGATCCATTTTATTGATATAAACTACACATGGAAGATTGTAACGATGAGCCTGGCGACTAGTCGAACAGAGACAGAGAGAGAGAGACAACGAGAGTGTAAACAGTAGAATTCTATTATGGTTAACTAGTAAAGAATTTAAATACTTCCATTGTGCTAATCAAAACAAAACAAAAACATAATTTAAGCGAATGCGTGTGTTTCTGCCTGTCTGTCTGTCTATTTTCGACATAAAACCACTTTGCACAGATGTGCACCAGTTCAAGTCGCCACACTCCGTTCCTTATAGCACACAAAGCAATAGAAGACAAGCATAATAGAGAGAGACAGTTAAGAGAAATGTGAGGCAAAAGGAATATTAATAACGAACGAAGAACGATAAAGTTTCATTGGAAATCATAAGTCACAAGGAGTGGATGCATCTGCACTAGCCAGCCATTGAGAACGATTTTCTTTCTTTCGTTTCCTTTTCTCTCTCTCTCTCTTTTCCCTCTGTTATGTGGTGCTTTGTTTCTCTCTTCCTTACAAACTCTACTTAAAACATTCTTCTTCGTTCTTTCACACTCTGCATATCTCGACCCTTTTGTTACCGCTTACGCCAGTAAGTACGCTAGTATATCTAATTTTCTAACACCTTCAAACATTCTGTTCACCTTTGGCTTTGCTACCGACCGATATGCTAATATGTTGTTGTCAAAATTAACTGAGACTACCCATAATCTACGTAGAATTTTATTTATTGTTAATGTACTAACTGGATGCAATACTGTAGTAAAATGCTGAGAATTCCATTCTGTATTACAAGCACTGTTTTGGAATAAAGCAAATTATTATTATTATTATTATTATTGTCACCAATTGTTTCCAACCATTGGTTTTTACCGTCTCGGAGTCCTCAACCAGTCAGGAAGTCTACACCTTCCTATATGGCTGGTTGGCTTGAACTAACTGTTGTGGATTTTATTGACTGATGAAGCCATCTTTTGGTTTGACCACCACCGGCTAGCTCTTTTCCAGCCTGACCAATCCTATGTCAGCTAACATTGCCTGTCAGTCGAGGAAGGCGATGACTAGGCATGCATGCGTAACACATGTCCTAACCATCTCAGTCGATGTGACTGCTTCACAGCCTCGTCCATTGATTTCCCCTCCTACTTACCTAGCACTCGACCGATACCTAACCTCAATATTACTCACCTTATTATACCACCAACCAACACGGGAGATAGAGCGCAGGCACCTATGATCGAAGAAAACTAATCTTTTCATGTCTTCCACTCTCAATGACCAGATTTCACAGCTGACCATAAAGGAGGACGGAGCGGACTTTTGAGCAGTACACCCGCCCTTTGGTCGATAGACAGTCGGATATGTCGTCTACTAAGCCAGAGACAGCGTAAACTGGCATATACGAAACTAGCCCTCTGTATCCGTACTCAGCTGAGATTTCGTCAGAGGTCAACCCGTTGGCATTGGCTGATGGTACTTCCCAAATAAGTGAAGCGGTCAACCCGCTCCCTCAACCACTCCACTCCCTGTTTCCAAACTAGGAGTCAGTGTAGTCCAGTCAGTCCTGTAACATCATCCTACATTTGGCGGGAGCGAATCGCTCGCATGCCAAATATTCGTAGATTGCAGCTCAAGGTGTTTAGAAGACTGTGCTGTATTTTGTCAGCGTCCTCGCCTAGAAGGACTATATCATCTGCATATTCTAAGTCAAAGAGATTATCACGTGGTAGCAAGTCAATCCCTGAGTCTCTGAAGTGAGTTAGGGTTAAGTCCATTAGTACATATATGATGAAATTGAATGGAAATGGGGATAATGGGCATCCCTGACTGACACCACTAGTCGTCGGTAAGAATTCCTATGTTCTAGAATCTGTCGAAGGGTGAAGATATGATCAATACACCCTATTCTTGGTTTAGAGCCTACCTGGTTCTCTCGTGTCACATGTGATGCAAAACTACTGGGATAGAAGTGGTCAGATCATTGGCATATTTAATGAAATTAGCTTTGCAAGAATGGTGAAGGTCATGAAAAAGGAAAGAAAGAAAAAAAGGAAAGGGAGAGTGAGTATACTACATTGAAACACACCAGTTTCCATCAGCAACGAAGTCGAGTGTTTCCCATTTAAAAAACAGTAACGTTGTATTCATCGGAAAAGTAAGAAGACAGCCACCCACCTTGCAACCCAGGACTCAGTGGGTGCTCAAAATCAGCTTGCTTAGTAAAAGTGCTCTAGGGATAGAGTCAAAGCAGCAGTGTAGTCTACAAAGAAGGCTCCTAAACACTTTGCGTAGACTGTTAGGCAAGGACGATAAGTCAACCAATGAACTTTTGAAGTTATACACAGACGGAGATAGCTAAGATACGTGTCGGGCATATAAAGCAATCGCCTTCCTCGCCGAGCAGTGCTAACTGACACATTTGTATTGGTTTGGAAAAAAGTTAGGAGTGGACAGGTGAAAATATGAAATTACTCCATGAAGTCTTTGATTGTTTATTTGAGCCAGGTAGGCGGGGGGGGGGGGCTATAGCCAGCTTAACTGAGGTCCCCGCGACATTCAGAACCAATGGCTTCAGTCTTTTGATGACATCTCTCAAAATCGTCCTCAGTGGCGTAGACGCATTCATCCTCCGTAACTGTCCAGATCCATTCAGTCTTCATGCTTTCTGTGTGCAATTACTCCTCGTCCCGTACACTGCTGCCCATTTCAGTTCTTTCGAAGCTTTTCCTTCTACACATGTATGCTTCAGAGAGTGTGGCGACATGAGATGCCTCACTTCTGTGCGGAGTTCCCCACTATTTATTTATTTTATTTTTGATTACACCTTGATTCCACATCGTATTTTTGGTACAAGTATGGAATTTTCAGCATGGATATTGGTAGCCCAAATTTCGCAGGCCGACCATAGATATCAGGTGTGCGTCAGCAGAGGATCGAACCTCGTACCATGTGCATGGTCGACGAGAGTCCTAACCACTGTGCCACCGACTAATACTCAAACAGTCTTTTTAAGAGGATAGCTTACAAACTACTTTCAATGTGGATACACTTAAGCAACGGTAATCACTAATCTAGGACCTCGTGGTATACCTTAACCTGCAAGGTCACAAAAACTGGCTATGGGACGCTAAACAACTATCATTGTGTGGTATCTTCACTTGTGATACCTTGATCAGATGAAACTGGGGCGGGGGGGGAAGTTATGTCCGTCATTAGACTCTGTGCTCCTACTTCATAAACGCAACAAGATACTAGCATTTATAGGAAATCAACACACTCTAATAAGCACTCAGACTTTAACTTATCCTATAGAGAATCAATAAAGGAAGATATGTTGAGTTAAATGTCTTTACAATTGAGCCGACCGATGGCTGCTGCCTTGACGTGGTGATCGGGCTTACAATTCCCGATGACCCAACAAGCTACACTGGCTGGAACCAATGTTTCTGCAGGTCTTACCATGCCACGAAGGTTGTTAGAATAGCGATTACACTAAAAGCAGTTACCGGTATAGTGTAAGAATTTTTTCTAACACTTTCCTGGGGGTCTGAGGGCGAAGTCTGGATTCAACATAGAACTTGGCACCGAAGTGCACCAGATCGAGTTGCCACGTTCCAATTGGCACACAGAGGTAGACAAGAAGATGAGTGAAGAGAATTAATAGAGTTTGACAAGTATACGAGTGAAACAGAATGGGTAATGGTAGAAAGGAATATGAAAGATTACAGAGACTGAATACATCTGCGCTGGCCATTGACAACGATTTTGAGCCTGAGGGCGAAGTCCTGCTTCTGAGGAACAGGGGTGTAACAGTAGTAAGGTGTTTCCCTCAGATGACCAGAATGCCAGCCAGCTATGCTGTCTCTCCACTCTGCTGGAGAGAGGAGGTTAGAAAATGTCGGCCCCAAAAATTGTACATCCCCACTTACCACCCTACGGTGATCCGCAACCGGCGGTAAGTTTACTAATACGGAACCAAACCAGGAAACCAGTTCATACAAGCCGTGTGTGACCGGCCTGGCTCAAGCAGTTGTCCCTGGACTCTGTGGTCACGCAACACTAGCCCCCTCTCTCTATTTCAGGCACCCACAGTGGTGTGGGCAACTGGGAAGTAACAACCGCCCACACACTTCCAAAAGCACACGAAGTCTTCCTGAGCATCATTCTCCTTTACGCAGATCACGATGAAGATCCTAATAATATTAAACGGTTGGTTCCTGAGTGAAAATGGTTATCTAGAAAAGTTTATTGATATGAATATCAATTTAAAATCAAATCAGCCCAAGGTATCAACAGTTCCGAGGCAACGGAAAGCCTTATTCTTACAAATTCAGTTCTTTGGGGACAACATCAGTGAGATACTAACACAGCGCCTTAGAAATGAAGCGGTAAAAAGAGCATTCAGTGCTGCTTCTGAATTCCACTGTGTCCTCAAAACCACTCAGTCTTCTTTTGCGTTCGTTCGCCGCCTGTTCCATGTGTATCTACCAATTCAACTGCTCCTGATGTGGAGTGAGCCAGTTACTTGCATAGGCCATACACAATTAGGCATGTTTCTTGTCGAATTCCCGAACACCACCCTACACAGTGGTTGGTTAAGTAAAGGACAAACAAAATCTATTCTCAGCGCTATTCTATCTCACTCATCTTGTGGATACACAACACGAGATTCATTGATGATAACCAGGCGGCTGTCAGGGTCATTTACCTACCGCACGCCAACGAATCTCAATTTCGTACGCCTTAAGAGTTCGACTAGTAAATATTGCTGAGACTGGCTGGCCGGCCGTTGGGATCCAGATTGGCAAGCCTAATTTGTGCATCCAAAAGAAGTTGGTTGGTGCAGACATTATTCTTACCCGCTTGGTCATCTAGGTTTGAATGATCTTGAATTTTTGTGAAATTTTCCTGATTTTAGTTGATATTCCATTTGCTACTATATCTTTATTATTACTGTTATAATTTAAGTATCTTTAATGAACTGTGGTGATTCCATTGTAATCTTACTTTACAAATCGATATTATCGATTTTTCGCAATATTGAAATAAATGATTGCCTATCTTTTTTGTTTTACTGCAAGAATTAAAACTTACCAAACTGTATGCGTTTGAGTTTGTACACCTTTCACTGCATCCAGTATAATGACGACACTGTCTAGAACAGTTAAACTGCGTTCCACTTCAAAAGTGAAATCCACATGTCCTGGTGTATCCAACAGGTGAATTGTATGGTTTCTCCATGACAGAGAAGCGGCTGCAGTGACAATGCTAATACCCCGTTCACGCTCCTCTGGTAGGCAATCAGTCACAGTATCGCCATCATCCACTTCACCTAAATAGTGTGTACGTCCTGAGGAGGTAAATTTAATGAAAAAAAAGAGAAAAACAGTGGAAGTGTTTTCAACCTACCGCACATAATAATAATGATAATAATAATTTGCTTTATCCCAAAACAGTGCTTGTAATACAGAATGGAATTCTCAGCATTTTACTACAGTATTGCATCCAGTTAGTACATTAACAATAAATAAAATTCTACGTAGATTATGGGTAGTCTCAGTTAATTTTGACAACAACATATTAGCATATCGGTCGGTAGCAAAGCCAAAGGTGAACAGAATGTTTGAAGGTGTTAGAAAATTAGATATACTAGCGTACTTACTGGCGTAAGCGGTAACAAAAGGGTCGAGATATGCAGAGTGTGAAAGAACGAAGAAGAATGTTTTAAGTAGAGTTTGTAAGGAAGAGAGAAACAAAACAACATATACGAAAAAAAGAAATGAAAGAAAGAAAACGTTGTTCCTATAAATGCTATGAGTTGGAAAGACGAGATCCAGTTGTTCTACTGACTATTTAATAAGTTAGCTATAGGTATCACGCCTAATGCTTTCTTCTTTGTCGCACAGAACACGAGCTAAGTGGGGTATGGTTGAGTTTTCGTACTTGCTAGTGCGAGCATATAGTTTTCTATATAGGCTTCTGATCCTGCCTGATGAGATACAAGGATAGAGTTGTGAATGAAGATGGTGGTGTGAGTTAGATAGATAAAATGGATTCAGCCCATTTCTCACATGAGTCCAAGTGCCTGTCGACCAGAATATTAACAAGCTGGTTGGTTAAGTGGCACGTTGCTTACCCTGCTGACAACCTTTAACATCCTGCGTAGTAAGGTATAGTCTTTCTTCAGTAGCCAGCCCTGGATAAACTAAGGGGAACAATAGAGAATAATAGGCAGGATACAAGAGTTAACGAATCGTAATAGTAAGGGTTGGCTTATTCCACAATGTCTTAACTTCTTGATGTAGAAGGTGAGATGGAAGGAATATTTCCTTAGAAATCATCAAGATATGAGACGACCAGGAAGGAAAGATCATCAGATAGAATGACGCCAAGATATTTAATTTCCGACTTGGTCTCTGTTTCAATGCCATCTATGTTGCACACCTCGTCAGTGCTAACCACCAGTTTGTTTAGGTCAGATTTATGCGTAAAGGTGAAATCGACTGTTTGACATTTAGAGGTATTTAAGGTGGTGAGACCGTTTTCCTTGGATCACTGGCTGATTTCTGATAAAATGCCATTCAGTTTGGAGCAGTCACTTTGACATTTGACAGGTAAAGATACAGTCAGGTCGTCAGAATATTTAACAAAATTAATGTCATTTGAATATGGTAAGTCATGTAGAAAGAGAGAAAGAAAGAAAGAAAAGAGAAGTGGGGAGAGTACAGCACCTTGAGGGACACCAGCTTCAGTGAGCACAGCAGAGGAGGATTTACCTTTGTATACAGTGAACTACATTCTGTTTGAGAAGTAGGAATGCGACCAGTTAGTGACCCAGGACTCAGTTTGTGTCATAGACAACGCAGAAGTAAAAAGTACATAGTACAGTGTGTGATATGTAGTCACATACATGATGTGTGCTTTATTTTTTGACAATCTGATATATTTTTTTTATGGTCTTAACTTCCCTTACTGAACACCAAGCTGGTAAGTGTTCTCGAACCCGTAGACGAACCTTCCTAATCGTGCGCCCTATGTAACCTGAACCACAGGAACAGTTGAAATGGTATATGCATGAGGAAGAGCTGAGGTTAGGTAAGACATCTTTGAGTTGGTAGGTGAACATTGGACGGCTACTGAAGGATATGTGTATATTGATCGATATTCCACTATAATTATTTTGTCTGTGCATTAACTACCAACCTTGTAAAGAAGTATATCCATGAAACTATACATAAAACCAAGCGAGGCACAGTAAGTAAGAAAAAGCTTTACTTAAATGTACAATTCAAAGGCGATATCGCCAGCGATATATATTAAACCTTAGATTAACGAGATCAATTGAAAGAACTTTTAATGCCGCAAAACTGCATGTCAGTTTCTCAACCAAACCGATATTGACACTGTGCATTAAAGATAGATTGCCCAAAATGGCGACATCAATGTGTGTATATAAATTCAACTACTCCTGTGCAGCTAGTTATACAGGTCGTACTCAAAGGAATTTATCTTTGCGCATTCGTGAACATATTCCTATTTGGCTTGGGAAAAGAGCAACCAAATCATTAAATAGTGCAATTCTGTCATATCTAGTGGATAGCAAACACATAGCATCAAAGTACATGAGTCATTTACAGTTGTGTATCGTGTAGCGAACAACCCCACCCCCCCAGAGGCACACGATTACGCCTCCTAGCCATAGCTGAGGCTTTAGAGATTGATAAGTTGAGAGACCAGATCTATGTGTACACTATACCTTATAGTGGGCCATAGTTTCATTATGATATCATGTCTTTATTATCCATTTCGCCACCCAGTCTATTTCACCTCATTGTTACCCTTACTGTTTGTCAACCTTTATGATTTTATACTAAGCCTACCAATTCTGTAACATCTTTTTACAATTTAGTCTCTTTATTTTATGATTAGACATTATCGGTCAGCCCTCAAATTCGGTGCCTCCTTTGTTATTGTGTATTTGTATGTATTTTGTGGTTATCGCATTTCTCTCATGCCAAGGACACTTGTATATTCTGTTGACTATAAAACAACACTATATCACCCAACTGTTCTTTAACACTTCATGACATTTTTTTCTGCCTATAAACCCTATACAGATTAAATTGACTATGCTAACTAATGGACTATCGTCTCAGCTTACATATGCACCCCAATACAGTTTCTAATATTATTTTCATGTATCCAAAAAGAACACGTCCAGACGCTGTTCCTACCGTGGCCAACCTTAGATTGAAGATTTTTCTTCTCACCAAGAGTGCTCCTTCCAATTAACCCTCTTGGTTTTTTTTCTCTTTCTTTTTTACTTTACTTATTATTATAAATATTATTATTACAGTTATTATTATTATTATTCGTCATAATTTATGCCCTTTATGCAAACATTCCCTCAATACTATCGAATTTTCATTCATTTATACGGACTTATTATTAGTGATATTATCTGTTTTCTCAATATATGCCTCCACCTGTTTCATTTAATATATTCGTTATTTCACTATGATCCTCTCATTCCAGTCTTACTATATCCTGCTTAACTCAGACCACTTTGTACTAGCCACTCACCTGACACCTTTTATAACCTTGATCTGATTTGTCAATTTTCCTACCCCACACTCTACAATTCCATTATGATTAACCACCACTATTGTCTCCCGCTTTACAATATTTCTAATCGATTTCAGCCTAGCACGTTTGTCACACAAATATGACTATTTATTTTGACACCCCATAGCTGCTAATCTGTTATTCTACGTTAGAAAATGTATCCGCCGCATACCTGGCTATCTTTATTGTAACGACCACAAATATTATATTTTATAATTGTAAGAACCTGAAGAGAAATTATTGAAAAGAATATTCTTCGTTCAGATTGACTTTTAATTCATAATATGGGAATATTTCACACTATCAAATCTTATTTTCATTTGCCTTTATTGGCTATATGTACTCAACTAAATAAACAATGTATGACCTTTTTGTCACATGACTTTACAACCAATCGGAATCAAATGATAGACAGTAGAAAAACTACTGTCTGTCATCTTATTGGTTCATGTATATCAGTTACCATAGTTACAATTATTATTATTTGTTTAATTCCAGATAGTAACGAAGGTGATAATAATTTTCAACTTGATATGAAAGTTTGAAGGTATGAATGTAGATTATATGTATTGTGTGCGTCGGTGGCACAGTGGTTAGGACTCTCGCCGACCATGCACATGGTACGAGGTTCGATCCTCTGCTGACGCACACCTGATATCTATGGTCGGCCTGCGAAATTTGGGCTACCAATATCCATGCTGAAAATTCCATACTTGTACCAAAAATACGATGTGGAATCAAGCTGTAATTAAAAATAAAAATAAAAGAGAAATAAAGAAAATGAAATTATAGATAACAAGGGGCTTAGAGAGACAAGATATCATAGGATTAAAAAACAGTTACAACATATGCAAAATTAATATTCGATAACTGGAGAAATAATAGTTTTAAAAGCGAATAAAAGGTGATAATTATTTTCAACTTGATATGAATTACAAGGGGCTTAGTGACGCAGGGATAGAACGAATTACAGGTGTGAACAAAATGAGCATGGAAACGAATTGAAATCAAAATTTTCAACTTGAAATGTAAGTTAGGAGATGTGTGTGAATATATGGATTACAAGAGGCATAGAAACAAAAAATTACACAGGAGTCGAATATAATTGTTAAGTGGTTAGCCTAAACGGATTACAAGTGTGATCAGGAGGAGCATGGAAACAAACTAAAAATAACTGATTTTATAACTGAAAAAAGGAAATGGGATGAATGAAGGCAAAGTGAGAAAATTAAACACACAGAGACCAGGTCCATGGTAGTTGTAAAGGCTGGACTAGCTTCTTTTGAACACATAGTTTCGGCTTTTCGATGCATATGGCAAGAGCTTCCACAGTACAAAGAAGTCGGAAACACACAGACTACCTTTGTTAGATCTTTGTTTACTTTTTAAATGACTCTAAATGATGAGTCAGTTGAGATTCTGTGACAGGTATTGACGAGATGTTCAGTTATTGCGCTTCTGATTGAACCAGTGCCTCCTCTTTGCAGCCATGCTGGATGATGTTCTCTAACACGTTTTGATAAGACCCGCATAGAACGACCTATGTACCTGTCTCCGCAAGAGCAGGTGAACTGATATATGCACAATGAAGTGGTCATACGTGGAAGTCTGTCTTTCGCGTTGCTCCGAAGTAGTGGGCAGCTAGAGAATATCACTCTTAGAGTTGCTGCCGGAAAATTACAACTATATTCGACTCCTGTGTAATTTTTTGTTTCTATGCCTCTT